GAAAGGGTTAAGTCACTGAAATATACCATATCTGGATCCAAGTAACAGTCATGGTTTCCTACCTCAGCCTGCTGTTGCAGTGACTGGACATAGTTGATAATCTCTTCAAGCATCACAGCTTTCCCAGTAATCTAAAACAACGAAACCACATCGACTAATCGAGATCCATTCTGGTTTTAAAGAAAGAGTCTACTATGAAGCCATGACCCTATAGTTACCTTACTGCAACCTGGTACAAGTTCTAACTTAATTATGCAATAACTGAAATGGGGGCAGAGTCTCATTCATAGTGCCCCTACTAAATTGGGTATTTTGACAGTTACCTCTAAAAGCATCAAATGTTTGGTGAGATTAAATTCACCAACTTTGGCATTTGTATAAAACAAAGCATCAAATTCCTACCCTTTTTTATATTTATCTTCTCAGAGATGCAAAAGAGATCTTATAAGGCTAGAGAGAGAAAGCACACAAGAAAGTAAGATTAAAGATCAAAACTTTATCAATAACCTTATGACAAGGAATTGTCGTTTTTTTTCTTTTGAGATTTTGAATTCAACTATTACATCTATATAGAATGTGTATCTCAATTGTTAATCAATTAAAGATTATAAATACTTATAATAACCGTATCATTGATAAAAGAAATTGAAACTTTGCTTGGTTTTTAAAGATAGACTAACTACTACCCAACTGCTCTTTGCTCCTAAATGAATACAGACGCTAAGTGTTGAATATTAACAAGTGGGGCTGCTGGTTTTTTTCTTACATGGGTGGCTGAAGAATTCAACAATTTGGGCAGCACCAAATTGTTGAAATTGTCAAGTGATAATTACAAAATTGAGTCCTTGAATTTTAGGATATTTACAAGTTAGTCTTTGAACTTCAACTATAAATACCCTAGCTCATTTAGCTTCAAAATCATCCCAAAAATCATTTCTTTCTCCTATTACTAGAGAGCTTTTTTGTGAGTGTTTTGTAAACACCTGTAAATTTTCTCTCTTAGTAAAAGATCTGCAGCAGTTCGGAGACGTAAGCAAAATTAGGAGAAAGCTTTCTAGTAATGGGAGAAAGAAATGATTTTTGGGATGATTTTGAAGCTAAATGAGCTAGGGTATTTATAGTTAAAGTTTAAGGACTAACTTGTAAATACCCTAAAATTCAAGGACTCAATTTTATAATTATCACTTGACAATTTCAACAATTTGGTGCTGCCCAAATTGTTGAATTCTTCAACCACCCATGTGGGGGAAAACCAGCCGCCCCACTTGTTAATATTCAACAATCTCCCACTTGAAGACTGATTTTAATCTGTCTTCACATCTCGATCAATATTGCAACAACATTTCTGCTCTTGTTACTGTAGCATGCCAACTGAAGTTGAACACAACTTCAGTTTGTCCGTAGTCACCGCCCTGTAAATCCACTTGTTGTGGAGCGCTCTCATTTTAGACTCTCCAAAGAATAGTCACCAAAGACGGAGGAAGAACGTACACACATGGTGAATGTGTCGTATGCCTCAGCAATTGGAAGTCTGATGTACGACATGGTTTGTACCATACCAGATATTACTCATGCAGTGGGAGCTGTTAACAGGTACATGAATAATCCGGGCAAGGTACACTGGGAAGCAGTCAAATGGATCCTCAGATATCTGCGGGGTACTACAAACAAAACACTTTGTTTTAAAGGTGGAGATACGATACTCACAAACTATGTAGATGCTGACTTAGCCGGAAACATTGACATCAGAAGGAGCATTACAGGGTATGTCTATACTATAAGAGGTACTGCAGTGAGTTGAGTTTCTCAACTACAGAAGATAGTTGCTCTCTCCACAACTGAAGCAGAATATGTCGCTGTTACGGAAGACAGCAATGAGATGGTTTGGCTCCAAAATTTCTTGGAAGAGTCAGGCAAGAAAGCGCTCCACAACAAATGGATTTACAGGGCGGTGACTACGGATAAACTGAAGTTGTGTTCAACTTCAGTTGACATGCTACAGTAACAAGAGCATAAATGTTGCTGCATTGATCGAGGTGTGAAGACATATTAAAATTAGTCTTCAAGTGGGAGATTGTTGAATATTAACAAGTGGGGCGGCTGGTTTTTTCCCCACATGGGTGGCTGAAGAATTCAACAATTTGGGCAGCACCAAATTGTTGAAATTTCCAAGTGATAATTACAAAATTGAGTCCTTGAATTTTAGGATATTTACAAGTTAGTCCTTAAACTTCAACTATAAATACCATATCTCATTTAGCTTCAAAATCATCCCAAAAATCATTTTTTCTCTCCCATTACTAGAGAGCTTTCTTGTGAGTGTTTTGTAAACACTTGTAAATTTTCTCTCTTAGTAAAAGATCTGCAGCAGTTCGGAGACGTAAGCAAAATTGGCTGAACTCCGTTGCGAATTTCGGGTATTATTTTTCCGCTTTTATTTCGCATTCTCACTAATCTGGTTATAGGGAAATTACTTGTTACTCGTTTATTTCTCAACACTAAGCTCCTTTCCTTTTTCAGGTGAATTTGTTCCATTCCATTCTCAAACCAAGAAACCAACTTTACATCAAAACAGGAACCGCCTGTACAACCAACTCAAACAACCAGACCAACCTCAGCTATTAAAACCCCCAAATAAACCCAAAACTTATGCTCTACAGTGACCGGCTCCTTTCCTTTTTCGTATTCCTTTGTTAATTTTTTTATCTTTTGGTTTATTTAGACCCTTTTTTAACCTTGTTAATATTATTCATCTCAGCTGCCATTCTTCTCTTCACGACCAAGCCAGCTTCCTTCCTTCTTTGGACAGTCTGCTCTTTGCTGTTTATTCACTAGTTTCTCTCGTTTCAACTATACTCTCTTCATTTCTTTTCATTTATCTTTCCTAATTTTAATTCAAGTTTAGTTTTTTCTCTCTAAATCTAACATGATGAACAATAGTCAATACAATTGGGACATGACTAAATTTTAGAACGGGTAAAGTAGGGAAGAGTTAAATTAAAGAAAGAAAATGAGAAAAAATAACATAAAAGAATTTTATATAGTTATCCAAAACTAGTTATTTTGGGCATTAAGATAACCGCATCATTGCATCGTATCTGAGCTAATGATCTGCTGAAACCATTGAATCATAAACTAAAATTCAAAGCTACAATCAATTTAATACAAGTTTAATAATAAACTTGATACAAACACTAATATTACGTAAAATAAAAGCGGTTAATTTGTGTACTTACTTTTAAAATAATTAAAGGGTATGTGGTAATATTATAATATTGTTTATTAATTTTTTTATTCTACTACGACAATAATTATAATAAAAATGACATTAATATAATACAAAATATAAAGACAATTATTTGGTAAGCTAACGGTGAATTCTCTTTAACAGTTTTTTTTTAAATATTATGAGATGATTACAAGGTAATATTTATTGAGATTTTTTCTTAATATTGACAAAACATACACCCTACATATGCATTTACTCTAACCAGAATCCTATAAGAAGAACAATATTATCTTCTACCACCAAAGTAATTCGATGGATTTGAAATTGGTATAACTAACTAAATTTATTATTAATAAAAATAATAATTTAATTTAATGCAATTATTAGTTTATGATCTATATAAAATATGGGTAAAGTACACAAATGGTTCCTCAATTATAGAATGTTGTTTTTTTAAGTCCTCTAACTATTAAAAGATACAAAATAATTCTCTAATTATAGGACACTATTTTTTAAGTCCACTGACTATTAAAAGTTACAAAATGGTCATCTGACTATTCATATATTCCAAAATCGTCTTTTTCCGTTAAAAAATTGGCGGTCATCTGAGCTGGATGTTAACCTATTGACTGAGATATGATAAAATCATAACTTAATGATGTTTATTCGTACTATCGTTGCTTTCAAGCACTGACTCGACGATATAATGTAAACAGATAGTCGGTCCACAAAATGCAACTCAAACGATTATGAGATCAGAATTATCATATCTCAGTCAACATTTTAACATCCAATTCATGACCACAAATTTTTTTTAACAAAAATAGATGAGTTAGGAACATATGAATAGTTGAGTGACCATTTTGTAACTTTTAATAGTAAGAGGACTCAACAAAATAACATTTTATGATTGAAGGATCATTTGTGTACTTTACCCTATAAAATATTGAGCTGTCTAATTACGTTGAAACAAATAAGGTGGAAAATGCGGCGTAACGAACCCTATAATATAGCGCCAGTGACTTGAGAACTCCAAAAATATGGGATCTTGTTGAGAATCTTACATGTTTTCCTGCTATCCACTTATTTTATGCCACGTGGATTATTCAGTTGCCATATTGTTCATTTTTTGTTTTTTAACGTATTTATTGTTCTTAACTATCTACACCTGTCACTCTCTGCTATAACAAAACAAAACCAACTCTTGTAAGTTCTGAAACTCCTTTTTAAATTCTTTAATTCTTATAAATTTAGGGTTCTTCAGTTCCTTTCCCTGCAAAGCCATCGATTTCTTCCCCATTTTCTCATTTCTTTTCGATTTTATGCAAAAAAGCAAGGCATTTGGTGTTTAAGCAATAAACAGGCTTAGGCGAAGCCCTAATAAATATTTTTTGGTTTCCAACTTTTTACTGCGAACTGTGTTGCTTAAGAAATTCTTTGCATTTGGCAGTCATACATTTTCTATTTTGGCTCAATTTTTTCACAGGTACTTAGTTTTGATTTGTTTAACCAAAATGATTTAGTTTTGTTTTATTTCCTCCTTGGATTGATTCTTGTATGGATTTCCCATTTTAAATCAAATACTTATTACTCTTTATATAGCTTATTTTGAAGAAGAAAACAAACCCATGCTTATCTATTGGTTCCATGAAAAAAAAAATTAAAGGAAAACGAGAGAAAATGTTTGGAAATGTGAGCTTTTTGTTAACAAATTACTCTAAAAATGAACTGTTTTTCCCATTCTTGTTGAAGAATGGTAATGCCTTTTCCCTGCAATTTAGTTAACACGGTTACTTGAAATTTCATTGAAACTATTGTTTTACCATATGATTGGCGAGAAATGTTGTTAAATTTTAGTTTCTGTACCATGACAAATCCCAAAACAATTTTGCAGCACTTTATTCTGTGTCAAATTAAGCCAAACTTCTTTCAGCATTATCATCAAACAAACATTCCTCTGCTTGGAGCAAATTGGAAATAGTATCCTTCTGCAACTAATCGCTTGCATGTTTGGATCTCTAATTCTTGAAACAAAGGAAATAGTGGACTGAGATGGAAGTTGGGGATCTTTTAACTTCTGCTGGAATCAATATTGCTATATGTGTTGTGCTTCTGACATTGTATTCCATACTGAGGAAACAACCAGTAAATGCATGTGTATATTTTACACGGAAGCTTGTTTTGGAACCGATAAGCGGAATTGGTGATCTTAGCTGCCTTACAAGATTTGTACCCTCTGCAGGCTGGATCGCCAAGGCCTGGCAAGCAACAGATGAAGAAATTTTGGCCGTCGGTGGCGTGGATGCTGTAGCTTTCATGAGAATAGTTGTTTTCAGGTTATGGAGTTTACTGCTACTAAGTTTTTTCAGATTTTGTCCTTCAGTATCTACTTTTGCTTTAGCAAGTTTACTAACAGCACTGTAATTTTCCTACATGTTCATTGCAGTATTCGGGTATTCATCATTGCTGCTATAATTGGCCTTTTTCTAGTGCTTCCAGTAAATTACAATGGACAAGGAAAGCATCACAAGGAAATCCAATTAGAATCATTGCAAGCATTTGCAATTACACATGTAAAAGAAGGTTCAAAATGGTACATTCTATTGCAACCTTTGGTATTGTCCCAATATTAAGAAAAACAACATTCATTGATTGTTTTTCCTCTTTTGTTTCAGGTTTTGGATCCATTTTCTTGCATTATACCTCATATCCTGCTCAGCTTGTGTTCTACTTTACTTTGTAAGGACGTACAACCAAAATTGCATCAGTTACTCATATAGTTTTGACTTGTATATGCATTTTAAATTCTTCTCACTCATTTAAAGATAAATGCTTTGCTTTAATTAGGAGTATAAAAGTATCACTCAATTGAGGCTAGCACATATTACTGGATCCCCTCCCAGTCCAAGTCATTTCACAGTTCTAGTGCGTGGCGTACCCTGTTCACCAGATAATTCATACAGTGCGACAGTGGAACAGTTCTTTTCAACTTATTACGCAGAAAGCTATTTGTCCCATCAGATTGTGTATGGAGCTTCTACAATTGATAAATTAGTGGTACACACCTCTCTTTCAGTGACTTTCATCAGTGACATAAATTTATAAAAAAAACATAAATTTGAAATCTTATTGAATAGTTTTTTTAGTCTTAGCTGGTTATGTCTTTATTACAGTTATTCAATACTTTCTTCACATCTAATGCATAATTTTTCTTGTGTTCTTTTTTAACTGAGTTGAGTAATGCTATAAGGAACCTATAAGTATCTTTTTCTATGCTCTTTCAACTCTATTTTACACAAACAACGTTATGTTTGTTTTATAGTTTGTGACAAGTTGTATGTACATTTTCTAACAATGTTGTGTTTGCAGAAGGATGCCGAGAAGATCTACAGAATGCTAAAAACCATTAACCCACGATATCTAGACAGTTCTTTGCCCTCTTTTCTTCCCGGAGGAACTACACATTCCTTTATGGTGCTTAAGCATAGAGCTTTGAGTACGACCAGTATGGATCGGTTGCAACCAAGTCAAAATAAAAAGGTGAAAAAGTTGGAATAACTTGAATAATTTTTTATCTCAGGGTTATGTATGCATGTATGTATGTATGTATGTTTACATGATATATAAGTCATGTTTACATTGAAGCCGTAACTGTTTTTAATCTCAAAGTGATTTTACTTTAATCTCTTCTAGATCATTTTATTATTCTATAGGCACCTTTCTTTCATCATGATCTACTTTTTCTTCTGATAGAACTGTAGTGGAAAAAAAATCTGATCTTTCCTACCTTAGGAATTACTTCCATTTGATGCTAAAAATTTGCATGCTCTTCGGATGTTTACATGTAATTAATCTACATGATGATGATGATGCATGAAAGTAGTTTCTATCACTGATTCTGAGCAACTAGTTTCCTGTTGTTTGTATAAATATCAACATGTACTATAACTGATAACTCTATTTTATTATGTCCTTTATACAGGAATTCCCAGCTGCTTTTGTTTTCTTCAAGACTCGTTATGCTGCACTTGTTGCTGCACAAGTTCTTCAATCATCAAATCCCATGCTATGGGTGACAGAACTTGCCCCAGAGCCACATGATGTTTATTGGTCAAACCTCTCCATACCGTACAAACAAGTCTGGTTCCGTAAAATAACAACTCTTATAGCCTCGGTTGTTTTTATGTTCGTGTTTCTTGTTCCTGTTACACTTGTGCAAGGCTTGACCCAACGAAAGCAGCTCGACAACCTAGCAAGTAGATTTCCTTGTATTGAAGGAATCTTAAAACAGTGAGCATCATTCCGCAAACTCTATTGCAAAACCAGTGTTAGCTTAACTTCTTCAACTATGTTCTTTGACTACATCATAATTTGTTTGTGCATTGTTATTAGTAGAAATTGGAAGGAGTTCAAAGAGGAAGAGTCTGGCACTCATTGTGAATCTCTCTTGTTGTTATGTTGTGCAGGAAGTTCATACACGGGGTGGTAGCAGGTTACCTACCAAGTGTTATTCTGATGTTGTTTCTTTATACTGTTCCACCAATCATGATGTTGTTTTCTGCAATGGAGGGAAACGTTTCGCGTAGTCAAAGGAAACGGAGTGCTTGCATTAAAGTTCTTTACTTCATGATTTGGAATGTCTTCTTTGTTAATGTTATTTCTGGATCCATACTCAGGCAATTGGGTGCTGTCTCAAGTGTTGCAGACATACCTACAACACTTGCCAAAGCAGTGCCAAACCAGGTAGGTTTTACACGAATCTAGATAAAGATTTTACCTTTGGTCTATCAGAGATACAAAAAAAAAAAAAAAAAACCTTTTTTTATATTAATCTAAACTGTACTTTTGGATTATTATCCGAAATTGTGCATATCCAACTAGTTTTGACAAGCCTGCACAGGAATAGCCCTCTCTTCTGTTGGCACATTCACATAGAACATATTGCTTTTCTCCCTTTTGTATGCCATGTGACCAAATCTTTAAGATTACTTCTAAATGTAATTGTTCTTATCTGGCAGGCTACCTTCTTCAGTACTTACATTTTATCCTCAGGCTGGGCAAGCTTGTCCTGTGAAATAATGCAACCTTTCCCTCTTCTCTGCAAATTTTTCAGAAAATTCATTCTAAGAAAAAATGACGAACCTTCTCATTATGCTTTAACATTCCCTCACCATACTGAAATTCCGCGGCTTCTTCTGTTTGTACTCATCGGCTTCACGTATTCTATCATGGCACCAACAATATTACCTTTCTTGCTGATTTTCTTCTGTCTTGCTTTCCTTGTTTATCGAAACCAGGTGAGTTTCTGTATGCTCAAATTTTATTCTTACTGCCTTTTGTCAATCATATAATAAGCAAGTTAATTTTGACTATTTGGTTGTGTTCATGATCATGTTGTGAAAGCATTGTATTCTTGCCTTCGCTGTGTTGATCAAGTGTGATTTTGTCGATGACAATTGAGTCGAGTTGGAGACAGATCGAATTCTAATGCATTTGATTTGTCTTCAATCTTTTTTTTTCAGATTCTCAATGTATATGTACCAAAATATCAAAGTGTGGGAGAATTCTGGCCTGTTGTTCACAACGCTATAATCTTAACCTTGTTGTTGATGCAAGTTATTGGCCTGGGGATCTTTGGCTTAAAAAAGTCACCGGTTGCTTCCGGTTTCGTCATTCCCCTAATAGTGCTTACACTCCTCTTCAACGAATACTGTAGGCAGAGATTTTCCCCTGTGTTCAAGAGGAGACCTGCACAGATTCTTATAGAGTTGGATCAACAAGACGAGCAACTGGGGAGGAAAGAAGAGATTCATAATCAAATACGTTCAGCTTACTTCCAGAACCCGATAATATCGTTTCAGTTGTCGATTAATTCCGAGTGGTCGATGTCTAGATTCACCTCACGACACCATGGAGACGAAGAGAGTAGCCATGGAATGCAGTTGTTGAAGCCATCCAGGTAATTGTTCCTGGTACTTTTTGCGTGGTTCCTTCCATCCATACTACATTTAATTATTTGACTCGATCTGAACTCAACCGAACTTTCCAGGAATTCGACTGGTTGAATTATATGGACAATAGGCTATTGACTGCCGAGGATGGCTAGCACCATGTGAACTGATTCATTCAACATCTCATGGTTTATATGCATTAAAAAATGCATCATCATCTTCATTAATCTAGGGAAAATTGAGGAGGAGTTTATCACCTGTTTGTAGAAGCCAAACGACATTGGAAGCGGGGGTATAAGTTAACAGCTCTCTCTAGAAAATCAATCTCTTTTCTCATTTCTCACACTTTATGGGGATGAGATAATTGTACAAAATTCCCTTTTATACTTAAAATTAATTTTATGTTACACTATTATTTATTTCTCATGTTTCAGTATACGAGTTAATACTAAACTAATTATGCATATAAATTCTTTTTTTAACAAATGAATTTTTATATTTATAAAATTTTAAGTAATAAAAACAAATTTTCTATAAAAATTTATCTAATATATATATGAATTTGAATTTTAAGAGATGATGACCGTCTACACCCATCCCTCAACTATATTGGCTTGTATGGTTGCTTTGCTGTGGTGGCTGGGTTGTGTGTAGAGAACTTTGATTTGCTTGGTGCCGGGTGTGATAGAGTGGTCGTGTTGGAAGTGCAAATTTAATACATTCGCGTGAGCGTTTTTGCGTACTGTTTCCTTATGGATCTGGTGTCCTCTTGCTGTTGTGGTTATTATGTTTGGTTCATAGAGTTAGCTGCTGCGTTGGATTGCCTCCAAGGCTGCATGTGAAGGTTGTGTTGCAGTGATGTTTGCATGCATAGCTGTTGGGTTGTTAATTACGTTGTGCGGTCTGTTTCGTTGTTATGAGTATTTGTTGATTATTCGCTTTAAGACATAACATGGTGTATTATTTTTCCTTCAACTAGGATTAGAAAGGTTTTTTAAGAAGGTCCATATTTTTGTCGTTTTGTATTCGAATTTCTCCAATGAATATAAAACCCACTCAAAAAAATAATAATGATGCTAATCTGTATGAAAGAATCTCCTACAAAGTTTCTGCCTTCCGCCAAGCTACGCATGAGAAATTGAAGCTAAAGATGGAAGGTACTGTGAGATACTTGGAGAAATATATATATATATATATATATATATATATATATATATATATATTTGTATTAAAATCTTACTTAATGATCCAATTGCAATTTCTGTATATCATCATCGTAGAATAACAATTTTGAAGAGGTTAGGGAAAATTATTTGTTCCTTGTCAAATATAATCCAAACGCAGCGTTTTAAAAAATAAAGATGTTTCTTAAAATCCATTGAATCGGATACAAAACATAGTAAGCAAGATTTAACCATCTTTTTAAGAGTAATGTTGCAAGATCTTCTGTCGATTTCCTTATAAGACAGACATCGGTAGATTTAAAAATATTTTTCAAGATTGACACGTATATATTAATAATAAAAATTTTCGTATAAATAAATACAAATAAAATTTTAAAATAAATACATTAGTAAAATGAACCATTAATATAAAAATTTAAATTTTAAGGTGGGCATTCACTTTAAAATTCACTTTGGACACCGAAACAACTCTGCTAACTCGACAATTTTCATCTCGGAAATCGCACTCTCCCCAACACTTTCTTTAAGCTCCCGCACATAACTTTTTGATATTGTATTTACGGTGAATTACGGACATCGAACATGAAACATTGGAAGGAGTAGGTCCATTGATTTGTTCCAACTAAAAAAAATAAAGTTTCGTGATCAATTAATTTAAATTAAATAGTTTAAAAATATATTGCAATAACAATCATCTCGTTTCCGTTTATTCTATTGTTCTTGTTATATTAAAACTTAAAAGTAATGACATGCATATGACTAATATGAAAATTTATTATTTATTAAATATAATTTATTGAATTTTCACATGATCCTGATTAACTAATTATAACAAAATTTCATGTCATCGTCTTATAATGACAGTCAACTAATTAACAATTTAAATATACCGGCATTTTAACCATATCTTGATTATCAAATTGACTTTTTTTTAATAAAAAAAATTATAAGAGGTACTCAAATTATTAATTCATTTTTTATTACTCTTGAACAATATAAACCAATATTTATGTGATATGTCACACGTTCTTGTCAGATGCTATACACTTCGAGGGTAATTTGGAGAAAAATATGATTTAATATATTTTTTAAAAGAAAATTTTTAAAAATCAAATTGAAAATTAAGATATACTTTAGGTTAAAAGTAGATGACCAAATAATTCAAAACTAAATGAATTTGAATCTCAAATTAGCATAACAGAGGGACTAAACCTACAATAAATGAAGATGCTTTGGGAAAATTATAAGTTGAGAGTGCATGTTTTTTGTTAATAAAAATTATAATTATAATTTACTATAAGTTATATTTAATTTGAAATTAGATGTAGACTGAGTTTAGATAGATTGATATTATTGTTGGTATGATATGCAAGATGACTTGAGGTCAAGCATGTTTAAGCATTCAACATCTTTCGATTTATGAGTAAAGACGAGTTTAAGTAATATAGACATCGTATCACAATATTTAGAAAATTTAAGTTCAGGCCACTTCAAGCTCGAATTAATTTTAAATTGAGTAAAACACATAAATTTTGAGTCGAGTTATTCTTGGATTTGAATGGGATAACATTTTTATGGTTAAATCCAGTAACATCAAATTTAAAATCGAAATAATGTTATTTGAATTAAAGACGTATACAAAACCACAAACCACTTATTTGTAAGTATTCGAGACCCTAAAAGTTCACTATTAATAGAGTAGCATGATCATCAATTTTTTTTAAATAGAATTATATTCTTCTAAACAAAAATCCAAATTATATTATTTAAATTAAAATAGAATTATAAATGAAACAAATTCAAAGTGCATTTGAATCTACAAAACATGCAAATGAGTTTAATACATTCAAATTTAAACTACTCGGTTTTATTTTAAGTTGAGTTTGACGAAAGTCGAATCAAATTTAGATTAATAAATTTGAATTCTAATCATTAGAAAATTTCATTGGATACGGATGAGATTAGGAGTGAGTATTCGATCAAGTCGAGTCGATAAATTTTTTTTGAGTTATTTGAAATTTTTTTCGAGTTTGTCATATTTGTAAAATTTGAGTAGAGTTGTTTGAGTTTCTATTTAAATTTAATCGTAAAAATTCATAATTTTATATTACTATTTGATTATAATTTAAACGATTTTCTATAACTATATACAATATAAATATGTATATTTCTTCATATCTTTTCATATACGATATACATATATCATTTAGAGTTGAATGACTCGATTCTAACTTGAAAAAATAAACCACTAATTATTTTTTATTTATTTATTTGAGTTTTACTTTTATAACTCAACTCGAATTTAAAACTTTCTTGAGTCTAGTCAAATCAAATTGATTTTTTTTTACACTGAGCCTAATAAAATATTATTTTTTTCCAAATCGATTCGAATTTTACTCATAAATAAATGAGATGGTAATTGATATAACATGAAGCGTAAGGGGACGGCTTCTCTAGCTTCGCAGTTCACACACTCCCAATCCCGTTGTTGGGGCCGTATATTTAGGTATGCTTTCCTTCTACGTATATTTAGGTGAGGATAGATTTAAGTTTGGTATATTTAGAACTTATTAAGTGGTTAAAGAAAACGTTATTTTTAATAAAAAAATTTGAGTTCGAGTAACTATATCTGTAGGTTGTGTGTATATTATTAATAAATTTATGAATATTTATTATCTTATAATTATCTCGAATTATTTAAAAATATTTCTAATATGTTGATGTTTTTCTCCTATATAACGATCAATATTGCACGTATATTAGTCTTTTCATAATAGTGAAATGCTACTCCATTCTCACACCAAAATTGCATGATTTCAATTTAATTTTATTTCTCACATAAATAAATAAAGGATACACTACATCTAATCTAACAATATTATTTAATTATGTGTTTAATAATAAACGAATCATTTTTAGGATAAACTATATGTTTAGAACATAAACTATTACTTTTATTCTTTTGATACTTAAATTTTATTATTATTTTTTTAAAAATCATACATGATGTTTAGTTTATGTTAAAGTGATAGCCAATCTTTTTTGGGTATAATCACTGGTATCCGTTATACTAATCAATTAATCCGGATCGGGGTACTATAGAGATTAGATATACCCTTCCAATATAGTTTTCTCTACTCACAAACGCTAGGATTTGAATCCCTAACTTTTCTTAAGGGATCTAGTACCTCATCATGTTAGACCAGTTAATTGTCAGTAAGAAATAGTCAATCTTTTAATTTACCATTTTCCCTATTCCAAATTAAATTTTATCAATTATACGTGATAGCCTTTAATGCATGCAACAAATTGCCACATAATGTGCCTTTAATTAAACTACAGTCGTGTAACTGAAGGGGTACTTTGTTGTTGAATGATGTTACTTATATTTTTCATAAAATACCCCTTTTTAACCTAATTAACACTGCTATTCCTATATAAATAAGCTCCTCCGAGCTCTTTCGATTGCCAAGTCTCACTAGAAACAATTTCTAAACACTAGTCATTTATATTACCATTTACACTTTCTTTATAGCTTTTTCGACCTTTTTTTTGTAAACAGAAGTCTCTACTTTGGGAAATCAAGAAATGAAGCTCGTCTTGTTGATTTGCTCGCTTGTTGCTCTTATTCTCGGCTCCTCTTTTTTCGAGGTATCCATGGCGGGTTCAGGTAATTAAATGAAAAAAATTAAAGCAACGCTTCGGGTTGATTTTATATTCATTTTCTTATGATTAGAAGATACGGACGCATGATTTTATGTTGAGGTGAACTTATAAAATTTTAAAATGTTAAAACAGATTATCGATAGAAAATACATTGAAAAAATATCTAAATTAGATGAGAATTTGAAAATTTTAAGAAGTAGCTACCCCTCAGTCTTCTCTCAAACCATCCCCCGGTGAGAGGATGAGTTTTGTTGTTGAATTGCAGGTTTCTGCAACTCCAAGTGTGCGGTGAGGTGCTCAAAGGCAGGGGTGAAAGACAGGTGCTTGAAATACTGTGGAATTTGCTGCGAGAAATGCCACTGTGTTCCATCTGGTACATTTGGGCACAAGGACGAATGTCCTTGCTACAGGGATATGAAGAACTCCAAGGGCAAGGGCAAGTGCCCTTAGATATTCCTTTTGTCTTTCTATTACTATGACACCTCTTAATGTTATGCACTTGTTTGATTTTGTACGTTTCTGTTGCTTTCTCTTGTTCAGATATCCCCCATTGTTTGAATTGCTATGAATCAAGGAATCTTTAAAGCACTGATATCTTTCTTTCTTTTCTTTATATAATGTGATGATTATAAGATAATATTTATTTAAATATTTTTAATCTATTTTTTAAAAGAAAAATACTCCATTTATTACCGAGAATATTCAATAGATTTCAATATCTTATTTTTTTTATTCAAATGATTTTGTAAAGTTTATATAAACTTTTTGTAAGTGAGATTTTTACATAATATAATTGAAGTGGTTAATATATGTAATATTTATAATTATATGATATGTATATGAGTTTTGTATATTTAGATTATTATTAATAAAATAGTTATTAACTATTGATAATGCTATCATGTTGATCCATAATATTATCTTTATTAACATATGTTTGATGGTTTAACTTTTTATATAAATCAAATAGTTATATTAATAAAATATTAACTATTCAAAAGGTTAATGAAATGTGTAAACACTCCGATTTTCACTAGTGTAAAACTAGAGTGATTTTATGCCCTTCAAACTTTATATATATATATATATAATTTCTATCAAGGGAGACAGGAATTGAGAAGGAGAATTTTGCTCTAATTTATTTATATTGTTAGTATTTTAATAATTTAACAGTTGCATTTATTAATATAATCTTATGTCCTGCAGGAAATTTTTTTCAAATATATATATATATATATATATATATATATATATATATATATCATGTTAATTCATAGTATTGTCTTAATATATATATTACAATAAGGCGTTATGAATTTATTTGAATTTATCTAACGGTCTTAGTTATTAAAGAGAGTGTTGTTCTTTCTAGAGGTTTTAGATTCGAGTAATTGTGCAATAGGGTATGTGTGTGTATCAAAAAATAATATAGATAAATATTATCTTGTAATCCTTCTAGATTAATCGAAAAACATACATTATTTATGAGTAAAACTTAGAAATATGATGGTCAGATTGAAAAAAATATTAACTATAAAAAAGTTATTAAAGTGGATAAAATCATTTTATTCAATTATGCAACATTTAATCATCCTATTCAATTATGTTAATATACTTAAATCAAAATGATTTAAGATTGATAAATGTTTAAAGAAAAATATTATTTATACATTTAATATTAATAAAAATATTTGGTTTAATTTAATATTGTGTGCATTGTATTCTTATGTTTTGATTTCACCTATTCATATTTAAGCTTACCCCTAATATTAATAGAATATTTGGTTTAATTCAATGTTATAGATTATAGATAATATTTTATCATGTCACATCATCATTTCTATGAAACCAATCGTAAAGTTTAACGACGAATGATCAAAATATAAATAAAATATAATGTTAGGTATGATTTTAAAGAAGAAAATAGTTGAATGAACAGAATAGAAATGTAGAAATAGATGGACGACCAAATAAGACAATTTACCCTAGATTATTTATGAGAATTAAATAGAGCGAACGGCTCTACCTTTTACCTCTCATTTTTAAAATTATGGAGGCCGCAAGAAGGCCCCAAAACTTGAAAACTCAAACCATTACCAAAATCAAAAGCGCAGAGTTACCCAACTATACCGCCAATCTCCCATGTTTTTGAAAATCAAACCCCAAAATGGCGCTTTTGATTTCACCCCCTTTTATTCTCCCTCTCTTCTCTTCTCTCCTTTCCCAATCTCCTGTCTCTCTCTGCAAACCTGAAGTGAAGTAGGAAGAGGCAATAATGCTGGATCAGCAAAACTGCGTTAGACTGACAAGGGCAGCTGCCAAGAAGAGGGCTGCCGAGTCGGCGGGGATAACGGTGGAGAATGTCTCCAACAAGAAAAGGGTTGTTTTGGGAGAGATTTCGAATTTATCTAACATTTTTTATTCAGTGAATAAGGTTCAAGGGAAGAAAACAACCAAAGGGAAGACGAAGACAAAGGCTGGAGTGGTAAAGCCGCTTTTGCATGAAGCGAAAGAGATTGCTGAAGATGAAAAACCGGTGGATATTGATGCTGTGTCTGATGACCCACAAATGTGTGGGTATTATGCATCTGATATCTATGCATATCTTCATCAAATGGAGGTGCATTCCCCTCTCCTTCACCCATAACTATTTAGTTTAAGTTGGTTAATGTTGGGCAAGATTTATGTTTTTCCTAGTCAATGGATCATCTTAGGTTGCAAAAAATCTGTTTACCTTCACTTAATCTTAATGATAAAAGGCAATGTTTATAATGGGGCATTACTTGAACTTGGCTTGGCAATTGAAATGGGGGATTTGGGTTATGATGACTTGTTAATATGTATAGGTTATTGGGTATATTGATGATGGCTATAAGTGGGATTTCTGCTGAAGTCACTAAACTGATATTTTTTTATGGTGCAATTAATATTAGGTGGATCCAACAAGAAGACCTTTACCTGATTATATCGAGAAGGTACAGAAGGATATTAGTACCAACATGAGAGCGATTTTGGTGGATTGGTTGGTGGAAGTTGCCGATGAATACAAGCTTGTTTCAGACACTTTGTATTTGACAGTATCCTACATTGATAGATTCTTATCTTCAAATGTTCTCAATAGGCAGAGACTTCAACTATTGGGTGTTTCTTCAATGCTAATTGCCTCGTAAGCTTCTGAATTCCTTGATATCTTGTTGCTGTTTTTTTTTCCTGTTTGAAATTATTGTAAATGATGTACTTACTTTTTGCTTTTTTTTTCCTGTTTAAATTGTTTAAGTAGAAAATATGAGGAAATCAATCCTCCAAATGCGGAAGATTTTTGTTATATAACAGATAATACATACACAAAAGATGAGGTAACCTTTCCTTTCTTTCTACTCGTTTACCTTTATTGTTTAGTGTTTCATAGTACTTTCCTTCATTCACTCACTGAATGTTGTTGGATAAATATGAAGGTGGTGAAAATGGAGGCAGATATACTCAAGTCTTTGAAGTTTGAACTGGGCAATCCTACTGTTAAAACATTTTTGGGGTACGAGTTGGTTGGAAAGTATATATATATAGTTGTATCGACAGTGAATATCTAATGACAACTGTTAAAAGACTAATGTTCTGTTAATCTGACTTGTGCGTTGTGTTTTATATGGTGTTTTTCCAGGAGAATTACCAGAGTTGCACAAGAAGATTACAAAGTAAGAAAGCACCTACATCTTCTGCAGTTGTTATAAAAGTCGAATCCATTGTTTTCTTATTCACGGAACGATTCGTTTTGATCTTTTACAGGCTTCCAACTTGCAGCTAGAGTTCCTTGGGTGTTACCTTGCGGAATTGAGTTTGTTGGACTATGGATGTGTAAAATTTTTACCGTCCATGGTCGCTGCTTCTGTTATCTTCCTTACAAGATTTATAATTAGACCAAAAAGGCATCCTTGGGTATGAGATTCTTTTTCATGACATTGAGTTGTTATTTTTGCCCAGTGCTAGTAAGCATTAACATATCATTTGTGTTCTGTAGAGCTCTGCCTTGCAACAATACTCAGGCTACAAAGCATCTGATCTAAAAGACTGTGTCCTTATCATACATGACTTGTATTTGAGTAGAAGAGGAAGTGCACTTCAAGCAGTTAGAGAAAAATACAAGCAGCATAAGGTGTGTACTTGTATTATTAGGCATTTTATATGGTTCCAAGCTTGTTGTGAAGGTTGTAATCTTTTTGGAAAAATATTGGTTTCTCTGGAAACAGTTCAGATGCGTGGCGACAATGCCGGCTTCTCCAGAGATACCAACTACATATTTTGAAGATGCTCAAGAAGTTGATAGTTCCAAGGTTGAAGATGTACGTGTTGTGAAAGTTTGACTCGTGTGATCGATGGCCTGTGTTTTCTGTAATTCAACTTCATGGAAAAGGCATAAATGTGGACCAAAAGACTGGCACTTGAACCTGATAATCATGATTTGGTTGAAGGGCTCTTAGCCGATGTGGCCAGCTTTGATTCAAGTGGTTGATGCTTTTGGAAAGGATTTATTTTTTAAGAGCCTTGGGGTTGAATTATGTAAATAATTGTGAAGTGTATGTCAATATCAGGAAGCATTGAATACTAAAACAAATGCCCCATTTTTGTAAAAGCTTCTGGCTTTCAGTTTTATTGATAAATTATTTGAAGAAACCTGATAGAAAATGAGATCATGTTCTTCAGGCCTTGTGATTTTTTATATTAACTTTTCGTTTTGGATTTAGAGCGTGTCAAAATCTTTATACTTCATTCACAGCTATTTTCTTTACTTTTTTGTTCCTCCAAAGATCTCTTTTGCCTTTGGCATTAGGTGTTCTGAAAATTAAACCAAGACAGTTAAAGCACATGCGCCAAGTTCTGTCTACTATCTATGAGCTAGAGCAAAAAGTCTTTGGAAAGCACCAAAAAGCATATATATTATAATAAAGGAAGAAATAAAGCAAAAAGAAATTGATCTTCGTGAGACGTGTCCCTAGTTTGCAGGATATACTGAATAACATTTATATCAACTTTCTTTGCTAAGTGCTTTTTGGACCCATTTATTTGCATTTAGCCCGTCATTTCTTTGAGGGCTAGTAGGGTTTCTCTTGGTATAACAGCATGCTCTTTCAACCATCTCTACAACTTGGGCTGTTGCAGACATTACGGTGATGATGTTGCTTTCTCTGTTGGTCTCATCGGATCAAAAAGACGATTCTTTGCTTGTTGGCATCAACGCTCATTCACCAGTTCCCCAAGGGAAGCAGCAGAAGCAACGTTCCAGGCATTCTTTCGGCGTATTCTTTTCAAGTAAGAGGGAAGTTCCAAATGGTGCAGATCCACTTCACAACCGTTGAACATGATTTAAGCATCCTGCATCTGCATCCATGTTTTCAATTTTTTGTTGGAATCTTTCTTGGCTATTGACGACACATCCTGAGGACATAATTGATCGAACCTGAAATCTATAAGGAAAATAGAACTCCCTTCAACTTGTATTGTTTATATCGTAATATATGTGGTACAGAGAATAATCTTTCTGAACTCTTGGGCTAGCGTTAATGAATTGTTCTCGTCTATTTGTCTTATTATTCATAGTATTCTTCTTCTCCCTCGTAGAAACAGACACCCTTTGCATCGAGAAGAAAATATTAGGAGCTTTATTGACCATGGAAAGCAGTACGGACATGGATAAGATGACAGTGAGCTTTTGAGATTCCAATTGCCCTAATCATTTCTACGCATCTTTAACCCTGCAACCTTTCCTTTTATTATTAATTATTTTCAGAGTTTTAAACTCTCAAATCAAAAGCTTGCTACTGTGCTGAAAGCAATGCGTCCTAATATTATACTATACATTTACTATTTAGACTATTATTTTTATTCTATTTTAATATTTTCACTTTATATTTTTTCAAAATAACATCTAACGTTTAATTTAGGTTTTAATTTGATATCTCGTCATTAAAAATTAAACAATGATATTGACGTGTCACCATAAGATAATGTCACATCACAACTAGAAACAAAGCTACGTCAACAATTTTATTAATTTTTTAAAGGTGAATACTAAATTGAAACCTAAACTAAACGTTATAATAATTTTATTAATTTTTTTAAAAAATATTAGTATTAATTTTTTTAAAAGTTAAATATTAATTTTTTTCAATATTTTTGAAACTTCGAATCTTAAAAAGATACCAATACCTCTTCAAGGTATTGATACCTCAGACATTTTATATATTTTATATTTTCCCCGAAGTTTCAAGCTTTACAAAAAGGTTATTGTCCACCAAGATTGATTTATAATTTATTTCTTTGAAAGATAATATTAGTGAAAATTACATGAAAGCTATAACACTCAGGGAAATTTTCAATTATGCCATTGCTTATTTATAAAATCCCATTTTTATCAATTTACTAATTAGTCTCTAAACTTTTAAATATTTATAATTGAGTCCCTAGTTGACTTACTATTCCTTCCATTACCTAGTGATAGCGTTTTGAAGTTCTCTCTCTTGCATGTTGCATGATTGCTACAAATTCTCGTAGAAGTTTTGAATTGTTTATTAGGTTTTAATTTTGTTCTGTTTTTTTCTTCTTCTGAATTTTAAATATAACATCTTCAATCCGAGTAAGATTACCAAATAAGGTAGGATGTTATAATTTGGACACTTGGCATATTCAAATAATCTTAGAAGTCAATCTAAAATTAGAATAATATGACATTCAGTACTTGTACTTTTAAAATATCCAATGTGATACTTGTACTTTGAGAAAATGTTGTGGTACATGTATTTTGACAAAATATCCAATTACACACATTTTTAAAATGTCAAATATAATACCTCTACTTTGATACAATATCCAATACGGTATATGAACTATCATTCCATGTATTGTTATGATACTTAGGATTGAAATTGTTAATATCAAGTCAACCAATGAAAATTCGATACCTAAAATTTGTTTTCAAGTAAATCTATGTGGATATTATAATATTATATGGAAATTTTAAATAAAAAAGGAAATGATTTTTTCATTTTATTGAAGTAAATGTACCATATTAAATATTTTAAAAGTATGAGTATCACTTACATATTTTTTAAAGTATAACTATCATATTAGATATTTTTCAAAAAAATATGTACCACATTAAAGACGAAGTAAAATTTCAAATATATATATATATATATATATATATATATATATATATATATATATGAATAATTCCTACCTAAGAGAGGTAGAAAGAGAATTTTAATTATAATGAATATTAAACCCACAATTTAAGGAAGAGAGGATATGTCAATTAAGAGCTTTTAACTACTTGCTCTAGAGATTGTTGATAAAAATACGAATATATTATCTCTTTGAAATTTGACCAAAGAATTCAGACAATTACTTCTATATTTAATTTTCCATTATGAATTGAAATGAGGTAGGCATCCAATATACATTGGCGCCGTCAAAGATAACAACAGGCGACGGTTGAATATCTCTTAATCTTCGGGGTGCGTTTGGTTTACGGAATGTAAGATTACCAGTGAGAATAAAAGATTATCAAGGAATAGAATTACTGGGAATATTGTATTTTGTGTTTGATTGGTTTAGGAGGAATGTAAGATTACAGTGTTTGGTTAAAGGAATAAAAGATTATTAGAATGTATATTTGACCAAATTATCCTTATTATATATTTGTTTTTTTAACAAGTTGGAAAATATTTATATATTTTCTTTAAAAAATTTAAATTCATAAAATTTATATAATTTTTTTACAAAATTGAAAATATAAAAAGGTTTAATGAAAGGGTAAAATTTTATTTTAACCCCTGACTTCATATAAAATTTTAATTATAGATTTTTTTGTAAATCTAAAATAGTTTAAGGATAAATTTGTAATTTTACCTTCGTAGAATTTTTATTATTCAATGACAGAAGAATTATATTTTTGAAAGAAAAAAAAATTAAAGGCATTTTAGTCCAAAACGATGGTAATCCAACAATACATAAGGGAAGGGAGATAATGACATTCTCGGTAATATACTCCAAAAAATTCACTATTGATAATAAAACATTACCGAGAATGAGATTCCCGGCCAATCAAACGGGAGAATGTCGATTCCATTCCTATGAGAATCCCACATTCCCCGAACCAAACAGCCCTCAGTCTTTTTTATGATTTCCCTTCCGTCTAAGGTCCTTGCGGCCTCTCCTTTGATACGAGTTATATTACATACTTCTACTTTCTTGATTGAAAAGTGAGAAAGAGACTTGTAAATGTTTGGTGATTAATAAACATACAAACTTGAATGAAAATGGTCAATAAAAAGGTACATAAATGATTCTATACTATCCAAATTACAAGTATAAACAGCTCTTCTGAAGCCATGACAAAACAAGTTGTAGACGTTGATTAAAAAGGTAAAAAAAATAAATGCTACAGCTGACGAATCTGTTCATGGAGGACAATAATGGGGTCTCCACACAAAAAATGCTTAAATTTAATGGCCAGGTCCCTTTTTGCTTGGCCCGGAGGCTAGTTTAAAAGCCAAACTCCTAAACGAATTACCACTCCTAGAGTTGTTTGCCGAGATAGGAACACGAGCGCCAACTGCTTCATCATTGTCCTTTGCGGTCGTCGATGATCGAAGAGGTCGGCCCTCGACTGCAGCGAACTCCGTTGAAACCAACGAAACCAACAGCAGCACCAGCACGAAAGGAACAATCTTCATTGTCCAATAATAAGACGGTGAGCTACTCAGCTGTTGTTTTAAAATTGTTGAATGAATGATATATGGTTAACTCTACCAGTCTGTGTATATATAAGGGTGTTCCCAGGCCAGGACGGTGAAGAGCTTTGCGAAAGTGGGACCTTTGGTTACAGGAATGTTTGACTCAGCCTGCGTTTCCTCCATTGAGAACGTTACAGATTTTGGGGGCCAAATGTGGGGCTGCTAAAGCAAGGAAATGTAGGTAAGAAAGGGAAGGTTTTACTTTGAAATTTGGGGGTTGAATAACTATTTTGGTGTGGTGTCGGAATTTGACTTTACGAACCCGGTGCTACAGATTTGCATGGATTAGCCTAATTGGGAAGCACATTTCCAACTGACCCTTTGTTTTTCCATGCTTGCTTTCACACGCTTTTCCCAACATCATACGCCTCTCTTTACACATCTGCTACGCTGCCGCTGACCTTTATTCATTTATTCGAAAACAATAATTTTAAGGTCGAATTTGGTAGTTAATCCCTATACTTTATTTAAGTTTTGAAATTAATCTCGGTACCTTAATTTATTATTGTTATACTTCCGGTGGTCACTTCCGAAAACTACTAGTTCTCCGCTAGACAAGACCTCTCATTGGAGACTCCAAGGAACTCATAATATTGGAATAGAAATGGTCTATGACAAGCTAATGTGATCTACCGGGGCAAAATTAAAGAATCTGATCACCAAATCCATTTGACTTAAGAGTAGTCATAATTACTTTATGTCAGACACTTGCCTAGGGCCCCTCTTGTCTTAGGCTGAAAATTGTAATTTTACGTATAATTAAAAAATGATAAATTATTTATTTAGTCACTCACCTATTATTTTATTTTTGTTTTGGTCA